TACAGTATATATATATATATATTTTTTCAGCTTTGTGTTATCATGAAAGCACAGAGCCCATCTAGTGACATGGGATTAAAAAAAATTAATGCATGGCCACTTTTTAGTTAATCTATGAACTCAAGATAGTCAATGCATAGTCACTGCGTGACCTCTAGGTAGTTAATGCGTGGTGGCAAGAACGTTAATGTGTGGCCACTCATCAGTTTATGCATGTCACTCATAATTGTGACTATTAGACAGTTAATGCATGGCCCCGAGATAGTTCATGTGTGGCCACTCATTAATGCATTGTCACTCGTTAATGTGACCATTAGATAGTTAATGTGTGGTCATGAGATAGTTAATGCATGGCCACTCAGTTGATGTGTGGCCACGCATTAGTTAGCATGTTTTCACTTTTTAATGTGTGACCCTTATTTAATGTGTGGTCACTTGTTAATGTGTGACCATTAGATAGTTAATGTGTGGTCATGAGATAGTTAATGCATGGCCACTCACTCAGTGTGTTTTCATTTGTTAGTTAATGTTTGAACAATAGATAGTTAATGCGTGGCCATGAGWTAGTTAATGTGTGGTTTCTCGTTAGTTATTGTGTAACCATTAGATAGTTAATCTGTGGCCACTCATTAGTTAGCATGTTTTCACTTGTTAATGTGTGACCCTTAGTTAATGTGTGGTCACTTGTTAGTTAATGTGTGACCATTAGATAGTTAATGTGTGGTCATGAGAGTTAATTAATTGCCACTCGGTTAATGTGTGGCCACTCTTTAGTTAGCATGTTTTCACTTTTTAATGTGTGATCAATATTTAATGTGTGGCCACTCAATAGTTAATGTGTTTTCACTCGTTATTTAATTTGTGACCATTAGATAGTAAATGTGTGGTCACTCCTTAGTTAATGTGTGACCATTAGAAAGTTAATCTATGGCCACAAGTTATGGCATGCAATAGAAATACAGAGTAAAAAACATTTCCCAACACACCTAGTGTGTTCGATGTCATCTTGTAAGTATTAGTACTTTTAAAAATGAACCAGTTCCATTGAAACATGGGAATATATTCTTTGGATTAAACATCCACAAATATAATTATAAACATATGTAAGACACACTGTTGAAAATTATCTTGTGACCATGATATTTGAACTCCTCCACCTGAAACACACACGTTTTTATCAGAAGTATTTATGTGTATGTGTGAATTTAAATAAGAAGTAAAGCAAAGGACAGCCCTCTGATTAAAACTCAGCTGCAGTCAAAAAGGAACGTAGATTTGTAAGAAATGAAAAGCGGTGAGTCACCTTCACCCTCGACTGACGGCAGCTGCCATTTTTACTTTTCAATCTTGCTCTTTCCATCTGGTTGTGACATCAAGCTGTGTCGTGCTAAAATATGAATGAAAGAGAGGCAGGGCTACAAGTTCKCCTCATTATTCCCAGGAGCTGCAAATAGATCCTCCACCACGTTCATAACTGAGCGTCGAAGCATTTTCCTGCTTTAAAAAAAGCACCAGACCTCCTTCTGAAGATAAAACCTGCAGCTCAAAGGAACACGTTTTCATCAAAYGTTGCATAAAACAGACTTCAATTCAATTATCAGGCTTTGAAATCTTGAACTATTAAAWGCTCTTTATGGATTTTCTGTAGTAAATCTAAAAACACAAGTGTGCAGCAGTACTTTGACATAAAAACAAGAATTCTCCAGAACTGTTAAGAATTCTTGCAAAATCAGATGGGAGGACGTGGCCCAGAAAAATGTCACTTTTTTTAACAGAACATCCCAACAGTGTTTTTCTACAATCCCATAGATACAGATACTTAAATTAACCTGACCTACATAATGTGACAAAAATGACTAAATAGATGAACCAATTAAAAAAAAACCCAATATGTGATGTTTTCTGTGAAATGTTCAGCTGATAAATGAAAATGTTTCTCTTGTCGAGGCAAAGTGTTTGAAGAATTTGCGTATTTAGCAGATTAGCTCACCTGCCAATCAAAAGTGCTCCACAAATATAACTTTTTGAGTAAACTCGAGCACAAACAAACCAACAGAAGCTCTCTGATTGGATGTAAACTGAGTCCGAAATGTTCAATAAAGAAAAGAAAAAAAGTCCTAACTTGACCTTGTGGAAATAAAAGTTTCTGATTCAGGACTTGAGTCCAGAGGAGAAACTGTCAGTTTGGAGCTGATCTGTAAAACCTGAACCTTCCTGAAGAGCAGCTGAGAGTCCAGGTGTCGGGTTCTGAGGAGGTTCTGTTCTCCTGATGAGTTCGGACCTTCAGTCCTCTCAGCTCTGTTGCTTCAGGACCTGCTGAGTCTCTGAAGTGGCTCAGATGAAGGTTTTCCTCTCAGACCGTCAGGATGTCCTGACGCCCAGAAGTCAGAAAATAAAAGACAAGTTTAGTTTATTCATTTC